GATAGGAAAATGTAGTTAAACACAGCTCGCATTTCATGCGCTTAGCCAGCAAATCTCGAACTTGAGTTTGCACTCAGAGCAAAGCTCTTCAGTTGATTTTAGCAACACAAAATGTTGCCATCGAAAATCTTTAAACATTTTTAAAATAATATTCACGAGTCTTAAATTCTTCTGCATTCATCGCTTTAATATTTCAATAAAAATAGCACAAAAGTAGAAACATAAGTTGAAAACACACCTGAGCTGAAAACAACACAGGCACCTCTAAAACGTTTTTCATTTTTTTAAAATCCCTAACAAACATTTTTGTTTCAGATTTTCCATCGACTAACAGAGGGATGAATACGCCTATAGACGTGTGTATGTATGTCTATGTGTATGGATGGATGGGCCTACCCCAGCCAAGGCTAGCTCTTCAATATTCTGTTGTAAGCCGCTTTATTGCCAGCCTGGGGCAATATGCAAACTCCGCTGCAATCCCCAGACAGAAAAACGCTTGCCTATGCAAATTTTGAAAGCATCAAAACAGCCAAACAAGCGAACACACTCAAATCAAACGCGAGCAACATTTCCAAATGGGAGTAACGGCCAGAAGCAAACCCTTTTTGCTTTTTGCTATGCATGAAAAACAGCAAACAGAGAACAGTAGTTCGATGAGCAAACAATTGAAGCAGTTTGAACAATTGGAAGCATAGTTTATTTTATTATTGTTTTTGTATTGGTTTTTGTTTTGGTTTTGGTTTTGGTTTTGGGTTTGCTTTGTTTTTGTTTTCGTTTTGTTTCGGCTCTCTCCCAGGAGGTGCACGTGCTTAAAAGGCAAACAATGCGGTCGGACAATAGCTCCATCAGAAGAGCAAACTAATTAAAATTAAAGCCACACTTTAACACCATCTGGGCAATAATTCATCTTTAATGCAGCACGGCAAATTCACTTGCATTGGCCTCTGCCAAATTTATGACCGTAATAAAAGCCAGGACAATAATTCTAATTTCCCGTTCGAGTGATAAGGCCAAGCGTAGCCATAAACCTGCCCACCATAACACCAATAATAAATACAATTGCAGACCATTAAAGAATACTTCATTCTTTTCCGGCTCCCCCCGAATTTAACATTTCGAATTGCATCATAAATTCCAAAAAAAATAGAAAATTTCAAAATAACTTTACTTTTTTCCTTCCTGGCATTTCTGCTGTGTGTGTGTGTGTGTGTGACATATCTCTTGGATATATCGTTCGAGTATTTAAGCCAATTGTTGCCATAAATTTGCAATGATTTATACTGAAAAGACATAAAATACAATTTAGCTCATTGGGACGATCTGCAGGACTTACAAAATAAATTGACATTCGAATTAATTAAATGCATACCAAACCTCAACTTCGCCTTCGACTCTCACCCACTAGCAGCAGCTTTAAACGTTATTTGCAACAGCTTTAATGGAGGCAACCAATCATCGACCTCAACCGAGTCGGTTGTAAACAGAAACCGCAGCCAAGAAAACGCATGTAACAAGCTACAAACAAGTTAGTTGGCAAGCCAGCTTGACTTGCACAGCAAACTTTCCATTCCTTTAGGGACCCTTGTTGAACACTTAGCTCTATTAATAATGTTATACCGTAGCTGTCGTTATTGCTGTTGGCCCACTCGCCTCGCCCAGTCAGGGATGCTTGCACTTTAAGCTGCCACTTCTTGAGCTATTTATCATTAGCAGCAAAGTGTTAATGTTCATGTACGGCAAACATAAACAAAGTGAGGCAGCTCCGTTTGCTGCTTGCAGCACCAGCAATCTGTGCCCTCCCATTCACTCAATTCCTTGCTTACATATACATATATAATACGTCAAGTGACTTGTGCTCTCAATTGTAGCAGCATGTGCAGCCATAATTATTGGCTTTAGATATGTATATTGCTTGTTTTAGATATTTCCATCATTGATTTTGAAATGATAACTAGTAGGTATTAGCAATTATTTTCGCAGGAAGGGCAGCCACAGCATTTCATGATTATTATCTTGGTATTGAGAAATCAAATTAAATTTAGAGTAAACTAAAGCCTAGCACTCGTTCAATTGAAAATCACTTCAGAGCTTTAGGTAATATTAAAAATTGCAGCATATGTGTACATATATTTTATTTGTATTTATTTCATGATTAATATCTTGATATTGAAAATTCAAATTAAATTTGGAATAAACTAAAGCTTAGCTCGTTGAAAAATCGCTTCAGTGCTTTAGGTAATATTAAAAATTGCAGCATATATATAAGTTATTTGTGTTTATTATACACATAGTAAATCTCTATATGGAGATATGCATGAACTGGCATGCTAATGACTTTTTGGGACAGGCATGTCAAATTGAAATTGTTATTGCTGGCAGCAAAATGGCCACATCAGTCTTGCGACGTTGCAACATTTTGTGTGCACTTCTTCCACTTGCCACTAACATCATTCTGTGGCACACATCTTTCGAACATTCGGCTAATCCCCGACCGATCCAACTGAGCTGGTATTTTCCCATGCCGGAGACTTCAAGTGCTGCAGTTGCAGCTGCAGCCTCTTGGCAGCATTTGCTTTTTTCTCTTCGCTCGTCCTATGCTGCTCACATTGTCACTGCCGGCAGCCCAAAGATGACAGTTTGGATGGCAAAGCGTATATCACAAAAGCACATGGACAGATTCTGCGTGAAGGTTGCGGGAACAAAAACTGCAAGCAGGCAGTAAACAATATATCTTTGCATGTAAGTATGTATGTACAGGGCGAAGCCAGCTGCCGAGAATGTGATAAAGCGTATGGGTAGGTGGAGCGAGCGAATGGTTGTGGGCGTTTTTTAACATTGTCCTGAATTTGTCGAGCAGTCGAGCACTTGAATCGTTTTCCTGGCATTCACATTCGTTATACGGAGCCGTTTTTACTGTTACTCGCGCAAGAAAGCAAGAAAAAAAAAACCACATCAGCTTTTGACATTTGTGGAGTGGAAGAAATATATATATATAAATTGCAATATATTAACCCAAGCAATATAGTCGCCCTGTTGTTGTTGTTGTTGGTGTTGGTGTCAACACATTGCAGGTGAGCATTCGAACGAGCACCATTCTGTGTGCCAATTCCATCTATAAGGGCTGCATTTTCTTTTACATGGATATGGATTATATCGATAAAGCTAATATACTGTAGGCATTCAGAATTTATAGAATAATAATTTAATGTGCTTTATGTACCTTCGTCTCTACTATCTATCATTCTTAATACCTATCTCTCGTTATGTATTTTTTCGTATATCCCTCTCTGTCTGTACTTTTACCCTTCATGCTCTCTACATCTCTATCTCTCTTTCTCTATCTCTATTCCTATCTCTCTCTCTCTCTCTCCCTCTCTCCCTCTCACGCTCGGTTACCTCTTCAACCTCTCTATATATCGTTCTATTAGCTATTTTTATTTATTTTCCGTATTTCTCACTCCCTCTCTCGCATATTAATAATTGTAATTTATCATTGACATTATATATGGTTAGGATTATTCTACATTTTCAGTCTCGTAGACTGTTCCTCAAGAGAGACCTCACTCAAATAGTAGAGCTACCATCGAATTAATTATTGCAGTATGACTGAGTCAATCTGGTAATCGCCTGTATATTGTTGATATTCCATATATGTATGGAAGAGAACACAATCGCCTGATATAAATTATGACTACATTATAATTTATAAAGTACTTATTGGCATAATAATGCCAAAAACAAAATATCAAATATTTTGTATATATTTTTAAA